GAGAGAGAGAGAGAGAGAGAGAGAGAGAGAGAGAGAGAGAGAGAGAGAGAGAGAGAAATAAGCTAACGACATCCTCTCCCTCCCTCCCCAGAGGAACCGGACTCTTCGTAGGCAGTGGCCAAACCCTCGCCCGAGGCGGTCCAGCCTTCATCCTCGCCGCCTTCATCACCATGTCCTTTCTCGTCTGGTGCATCGTCTCGGGCGTAGCCGAAGTCGCCGCCTGGTGCCCCACCAAAGGCTGTTCCATGAACATGTTTGGATGGAGATATGTCAGCCGCAGCATGGGATTTGCCATGGGGTGGTTATATTTCTATTCCTTGGGCATCTTAGTCCCCTATGAAATTACTGCTGCGGGATTGGTCATTGAGTATTGGAATGCTCCGGTTCATATTGCTGTGTGGATTAGTATTATGATTGTGGTGATTGTTGGGTTGAATGCGCTTCCCGTGAAATTTTATGGTGAGACGGAGTTTTGGTTTGCGGGGACGAAGATTATTATGATGATTGGGTTGTTGTTTATGTCTGTTGTGTTGTTTTTTGGTGGTGGGCCGGATAAGGATCGATTGGGCTTTCGGTATTGGAAGGTAAGTATTACTTTTCTTTTCTTTCTAGTCGGATATGAGAGAGTGTGACGACTTCGAAAAAGAACGAAAAGGAACGAAAAAGGAAAAGAAAAGAAGAAGGAAAAAAAGAAAAGAAAATTAATCTGTCATGCGGATGCAGAACCCCGGAGCTGCAAACGAATACCTCGTCGACGGCAACACCGGCCGCTTCCTCGCCCTCCTCTCCGCCCTCGTCCTCTCCGCCTTCCCCTTCGCCTTCGCCCCCGAACTCCTCATCGCCACCGGCGGAGAAATGGAATCCCCCCGCCGCAACCTCCCCACCGCGGCACGCCGCTACATCTGGCGACTCGTAATCTTCTACGTCGGCAGCGTGCTCGCCATCGGCGTAATCTGTCCCTCCGACGACGCACGACTCACCAGCGGCGGCGCGGGAGCCGGAAGTTCCCCTTTTGTAGTCGCGATAAAAAACGCCGGAATCCCTGCTTTGGACAGTATTATCAACGGAGGAATTATCCTCTCAGCCTGGTCTTCAGGAAATTCTTTCCTCTTCCTCTCGAGTCGATCTCTCTACGCTCTCGCCCTCTCGGGAAACGCTCCCCGGATATTCAAAGCTTGCACCAAACGCGGAGTACCCTATGCCGCCGTCATCGCGTCTTCACTCTTCTGCGCTCTCGCATATTTGAATGTGGGAAGTGATAGTGCAGTGGTATTTAATTGGTTTGTCAATTTGACGAATACGTCGGGATTCATCAGTTGGATTTGTTGTGGGATTGTGTATATTCGATTCAACAAGGCTTGTCGCGCGCAAGGGGTGACGTATGCGGAAATGCCGTATCATTCTCCTTTTCAAAATGGGGCGTGGGGCAGTTGGACGGCGATTGGGGGGTTTACGTTTTTGTGTTTGATTAATGGGTTTAATGTGTTTTTTCCCGAGAATTGGTCGGTTAGTGGGTTTATGACGGCTTATGTTGGGTGAGTGGTTTTTTTTTCTTCATCTTTGTTAGGGGAATGATGGAAAGAAGAGAAACTAACCAAAAGTGATTCGAATTTAGAATTCCGCTGTTTTTGGCGATTTATGCCGGACATCGCATTTATACGTGGAGTGACCCGTGGGCACATCCTTCACACGAGGTGGATTTGCATACGGGTCTGGAAGAGTCGATTGCAGAGGAAGGTCCTGTGGTTTCCTTTAAAGGCTGGCAAAAGATTCGGCATATCTGGGAGTAAATCGAAGGAACAGAAAGAGAATAGAAGAAAGAATAGAAGTACATTTTTCATTTTTGCGAATTTCACTTCAACATCTCCAAAAACTTCACCACCGCCCTCACCACTTCCCCATCCTGCTCCTGCTGCACCCAATGTCCCGCTCCATCAATCCACGTCGTACCCCGATAACAACCCCGTCGCACACGCTTCTCATCCTCATACCCTTCCCACGCACCCGGTTGTTGCCAATTCCCCCAATCCTGCTTCCCACTAATAAACGCACACGGTACTTCAATTCGCGCACCGGCATACAACAACAAATCCTTCTTGGAAATCTCCGTCGAAGCCGTTTGAGCACGATACCACAGCAACGCACGTTGAAACCCCGTGCGATTCCATTCGCCGACATAAACGGCGAGATCTTCTTGCGAGAGCCAGGATTCTGTTGTGGTGAAATCTTCGCCACGCATGTTGTTGGCGATGCACGAGGGAAAGGTGTCGTGGAGTTGCATGATGTAGTATTCGGGCATGAGAGCGAGGGACTTGGCGCTCCATTCGGGTAAGGGGTGTAAATTGTGATTGGGGGCCCAATTTGCGGATTTGAGATGGAAATAGCCTCGGAGGTATTGGGAGAGACCTTGTGGGGGGTGGTTCCAATGGGATGCTGCGTCGGGGCTGGAATTGTACCATTTGTAATGTTTGCGAGGTGGAGAGAGTTTGGCGAGTTCGGCTTGAATGTCATATGGCGGGTTGGGGGGCTCGTTTCCCAATTGAGGGCTGGGAGGGGGATGGTAGGGGTGGCTCATTTGGATTGTTGCTTTGAAGATGTCCGGGCGGATTAATGCTGCCATGGCGGAAGATACAGCACCGAAATCGTGGCCGATAATGCAGGCCGTTTCTGTGTATCCTAACTTGTACACCAGACAGACGAGGTCACGAACGAGGTTGGTCATGGTATATTGTGTCAGATCGATTTCCTCGTCGGGCTGGTCTTTTTCCCCGCCGGTGGTTCTGCCGTAGCCTCGTTGGTCCATGGCGACACAGTAGTATCCGGCCTTTGCCACCGCAGACAGGACCTTTCGCCATGAGAAGGCGAGCTCGGGGAAGCCGTGGCAGAAGAGGACAAGAGGGTGGTGGGGATCTCCAGCTTTGAGGATGTGGAAGTTGAGACCACAGGAAGATGTACAATCAATGTAGTCCTCGCTCACGCCTGGGGGAAGCGGTAATGGCTCGAGGTGTTGGGGTTGTGACATGATGTGTTTGGGCAGTATAATGCCAATAATGCACGATGGAGGTTGCCATAGCTCGTAACAGTCACAAGATATGAGGAGGTATGTCTCTCTGGCGGGTGTCTGTTAAACGGTAGGATGGCTTGTCGCCGACATCGGGAGACGCATGTAGAGGAATGTATTCCTGTTCCCCCTCTCCTTTTTTCCTTTTATATCTCCTTTTATATCTCCTTTTCCCTCTTCTGCTGCTCCATCTTCTTCTTCTTCTTCTTCCTCTTCTTCACCATCTTCATCTCCAACTTCTCGCAGTCGGCAGCGGAACAAGTCCTCCACGCTACGGAAGACACCGTCTTGTGCCAAGAATGCATCAATCTGCATCCCAAGTGGAGCCTGTTGTGTCCGCAATATCGTCGGCAGTTCCACGCGAGCGGCAGTGGACGTGTCACGGCGCGGTGTCTACTATAGACTAGTCAATAGTCAATAGATAGGCTTGTCCGCCGCACGAAGCAGAAGCACATGGGAAGCGCACGCGGGAATTCACGACTTGGCGCTGCTTGGTCTACTGTACAGTAGTTTCATCATTCATGGGACAGGCTCACGCTGCGACAGACTTCATCTCCCTCCTCTCTCCGTCTCCGTCTCCTTTCCCGTTCTGTGAGAAGAAGAAGTCTGTGAGAAACAAAAAAGGACAGCTTCACTTCCGACGCGGTTGCGGTGAACAAGGCCAATTTCATATTGCTGCCGCGAGCCGAACACGATGCCTGCACATTCACGGCGGGTCAGTCTGCCCATAGGCTACAGGTGGATCGCGACATGTTCCAAAAAAGGAAACCAGTCACTGGCGTGGGCTAAGTACAGTAACACGAAGGTGTGTGCAGACCTGCCAAGCTCGGCCATTGGCTCGTTTCTGCTTCAGTGTTGCGTGCAGGCCTGTCTTTTTTTTCATATACAGTACTTGGAGTAGTATTGATGTGCTACTAGCTCTCCAGCGCTTGTTTGTTTTTCGTCTTCTCTCTTCCTCCTCTTCTTCCTCCCTTCTCCCGCTCTCCTCTTCAACCCTCGATCGCCATTCTTCTCACCACAGTCATTCGTTTGCTACTCGCCTCGCAGCCGATTCCTCGCCTCGACAAACTTGCACTCCACGACTCGCAGAGATCCTACGAAAAAAACAAGTGGAGCCGTCGACAACATGAAGTACTTTACTGGACGCGTCGTGGCGCTCGCTACACTCGCGGCATCTGTCCACGCGTTGAACGGCATCGTAGCACCCGCCAACATCTCTGCCGACACCAAGTTCGAGGTCACATTCGAGAATGCGAATAGCGACCAGTATCGCGTCTACCTTGCCGCTGCTCTCGCCGGCGTCAACGGTCCTACCTGTAAGTGTTGTTGCGGCTTCACCGCGATTCTCTTGTACAAAACAAAAGTGCGTCTCCTAACAAGAATTGCACAGGCTACCTCATCAACTCGACATCTCTCAAGAGCCCACTCAGCAACCTGTCCATCCCCGCGAGCGTAGGACCTTCAGCAAACTACTATTCCATCGCCGTCGCCGACCTGACCACAGGCCAAGGCGCCACCTACAGCAACCGCTTCGCCCTCAGCGGCGCCACAGGAAACTACTCGGAATACGAAAACAAGCTCGGAGGCTCGCCCTTCTGGAGTGCAGACGACCTCCCTTGCACCGCCTACGAGTGCGCTCGCGAGTGCGCCATGGATTCGTATCCGGAAAATTTGACCGAGAAGGATGCTTTTGATACTATGAAGTCTTGTATTCTGGACTGTGATGGTGTCTCTCCTGCTCCGAGTCAGACTGCGCCTGCTCTTGCTTCTGGCACTAGCACTAGTACTGCGACGTCTGAGGCTACAGGAGAGGGCTCTGCGACGGAAAGTTCTAGCTCGTCGGCTACGAGCGATAGTGCAGCGCACAGAAATGTTATCTTTGCTGGTGCTGCAGCTGCTGGTGTGGGCGCTTTGGCTTTTCTATTGTAAATGAGCTTTAAGAAGAGAGAAGCCTTTCACCGCGTATGCTTTTTGGTGGTGGTGGGGAGCGAGACTCTTTTTTTCTTCTTTTTTTCCTCCTTTACCCGATGGAAAGACTTGTTGGGGAGGTGGAAAATGTGACACGATAACACGAGTTGAATAGAGATCGCGCGCGTTTGGGCGCGAGCGAGCGAGCGAGGAGTTGGGTACTAGACTCAGGTACCTAGTAGTAGGTAGTGTTGCCCTTGGCTGACTACGTAGGTATAGAACGACTTGCTGTAATTAATTTAGCGCAGGCAAAGCAATTAATCATGACAAACCAATAACAACAATATTGTATAAGGATCTTGCAAGTCGTATAATTGACAAGGTTTATGTTATTCCTGGGTAGATGACGGAGATCTATAGGACTGACCTTTTGAAGAATGGGACATGGAATAGTGTGGTCGGTGGTGTGTGTTAACTACCTTACATACCTCTTAGGCTCTTATCGGAGCGTCTAGACGATTATGCATGACTTGCCTACTAGGAGGTATAGAAATCTTCCTGACTACCTACCTATCCCCCTTCCCAAGAAGTCTACACCAACATTATACATTGAACGAGGTCAGGTCAAGATCACATCAAATATATTCCATACATAATCTCCCACAAACATTCTACAAAAAAGGAAAATTTCGTCTCTTCCCTCACCAAAAAACTATCCAATTTCAACATTTTATAAGCTCCCTCCCGACTATCCTCAGAAATCGGAACCGGAGCAGCTTCATTAGCAAGACGACTCGTAAAACCATTCGAAAGCAATAATCCAAGAAGCATAGCCGATTGGATCGTGCTAATAACATTCGTCGCATCACCACCGCTACCAATAAACCCCCCCCCCTCCCAATTCCCTCCCCAAGCCCATCCCAAAACCTCTCATAAAGAACCTCATACCTCGGATATCTCACCGCCCCATTCCTCAGATGAAATTTCGTCATCAAATTCTCTGTGGCGTAGAGATTGATTCCAAAGGGTTCCAAGGTAGCTTCTGCCCAATCGATGACGCCGAGGAGATGGCAGGTTTCGGAATCCACGAGAATGTTGAAGTCGCCAAAGTCTTTGTGGGCGAGTACGATGGGGAGGGTCATGATGGATGGGAGGGCGTGGAGGCAGCGTTGGATGGTAGTTTGGAAGCGGGTGGGGAGGGTTTGGTGGAGGAGATGGAGGTCGGTGGAGTATTGTTGGTGGAGTTGGGCGAGGTGGGATTGTGGGAGGGGTTGGGGCGTTTGGAAGGATAGGGCGAAGAAACTGATGCACATACACACACAGCTGTGATTAGAGATTGAAGGTATAGTGATAACAACGAGAACAATCCAAAAAAAGAGGGAATAAAAAGAAAAGAAATAAAGACTCACGAAGCAACATCCCCAACCAACCTCTCCCTCGCCTCACAAATCTTCTCCCCATCCTCCGGAAACCCATGAGCAAGAATATATTCCAACCGACTAATCCCTCGCATTCTCGGCATCACATATACCACCAAATTCTCCCTGCCATCATCATTCCCATTCCCATCACCACCATTTGCATCACCCATCTCCCCCCGAAAACTCACCTCAGGCACCAATCCCCCATAAACCCTCTTCGCTCTCTCCATCGTCTCCATCGGCAACGCGAGAGATTTCAAACGGAATTGTACCACCCAGTCGAGAGTACTGCTGTTGCTGTTGTTGCTGGTGCCGGCGTAGACGGTATAGCTGCAAACGCCTTGTGTGGGTACGATTTCTAATCGGACTGTATTTGTACTTGTACTTGTACTTGTACTTGTATTTCCTGATGTACTCTTCTCGACAATGAGTTTTTTTGCAAACTCATCACAAGAATTTCGGAGAACTCTTGTTTTTGTAGAGAAGAAAGCTGCGATTTCTTGTTCGACGTTGTAGTTTTGGTCGGTCATTTTTATTTTTGTGCTGCGAGATTTGGGATGCGGGATGGGAGAGTTGTTGTTGTAGAAGTAAAGATAGGAGGGGCTACCGTTGTGATGAAAAAGAGTATTATTACCTATCTGGTGAAGTAGATTTTGGAATAGTTGGAGAAGGAGGTAGAGTTGATTGATGGGCGATGCGACGGAATGCTTGGTATTTGCCAAGTAAGCCCTTTTTTGAGGGCGGTTCGGACATAACTCCTATAGGTATATAATAAATAGCCTAGTCGGAGAGAAGCCGAAAAAAAGCTATTGCTTTTGTGTTCTTACTATAAGTATAAGCTAGTATAGTTAGTAATAGTGGTAAGTAGGTAAGTAGGTAGGTAGGTTAGGTAGGTAGTAGTAAAAGTAGCTGGTAGTAGGTACCCAGGTATATAGGTAAGGTAGGTAAGATTCATAGCTAAGGTAGGTAGTCAATCAAAAATTGGTATCTCTCTTTACGCTTCTTATCATCTCTTCATGCCCTCAAAACTTCCAACCCCCCACTCATGCCAGGTACTGCGAGAAAAATTATGCCAAAAATGCCAAACACGCGTGATGTGAGAGTGTTGTTGTTGTTGTCACAAAACCCCTCCCCCCTCCCAGGTAAGTACTTGATCCCCCCCCTCCTCCCCAAATGCAGCTAAACAGTGAACATCCTTCGCCAGTCTGGTTTTGGTTCCATCATATTGATTGTGACTTGTAAAGTAGTAGGTACCTGTCCCACAAAACCCCCATGTTGGACAGTTGGAGAAACACAAAAAAAAAAGATCATGCAAGCCCATTTCGCCCGAGCCGAACCGTGGGTACCACTCATTCATGGATACCTGTCAGACTGTCACCTGTAACTGGACCGGTCTGGACCCCCAAAAAATCATTTCAACGAGCCCAATCCCAATGCGACGCCACGTTGTGCCAACAATCCTTTTTCATTCCTCCACAACGCACAACCAACCACACATTGCCCTCTCTCTCCGGTTTGACAAGGGACACAAGAAGAGTTACAACAGGTTTCCCACGCACTGCATAAATGCATGCATGCATGCATACATGCATCTAGGTCACCGCCTTCGTCCACGTTGCTCATGCTGGCTGGTTCCACGCGACGGACTTCTTCTTCTCCTTCTTCCTCCTCCTCCTCCCCCCTGGAGCTGCACGTACGCGAGTTCTGCTCTTCTCTCGGCCTCGGCATCTTCCCCAACATCGGGGAGCTGATAGCCGGGCCGTTTCCAGACGTGGACCTTGCCCGACATGGTTCGGTTGAAACGCATACCTGGTCGCTCGAGCTTGCGAGCGGCACGTCTGCGTTCACGTGCTCGCTCGACGAGGTACGCGACAGGCAGCTCGTCTTCGTCAGAGTCGGTCTCGTCGTCGTCGTCGTCGTAATCATCGTCGTCTGAAAGCTCTTCGGCTGGGGTGAAATTTGATTGCAAGTAATTTGGTATACTCGGTCGAGCGGCAGCAGCAGCAGCAGGTCTGCCACAGTAGCGCTCCATATCAAACGAGTCTCGCAGATTGGGCGAGTTATCTGGTGTTAGATGAGGCACATCTTCTGCTGGTGGCGTCCAGATTCGATTGCGTGTCGGTTCGGGTCGTGAAGAACGATTTCGCTGCATGGCACGCTGCAGTGCCGAGTGTTGGCTCGCCAAAAGGGAATCCCATCGGTCTGTGGGCAGCGATGTGGTGTGTCCTGCTTGGGCTTGCTGCCTGTCGGAGTGAAAATGTGCAAAGTCCACAATGCCGGCATCCCAGGCAACGTCTTCGGTATTGTCGTTGTCGGACTCTTCGGCCCAGTCGTCGTACTCGTAGACCATCTTGACGGGTGACAGAAAGTGCGCAGCGGGATCCTGATCAATTTCATCCTCGAACGAGTCGGGCCGCAGAGGCTTTCGTTTGGTTGTCGAAGGCATGATGATTGGGTGAATGGTGGGAGTAGTTGCTGGCATATATTTGGCGTCCACGTCAACAGTGGAGTGGCGTAATGTGGTTGGTGGCCAGGTTAGACTTCTTTGCTGTTGCTCGCCCAACGCGGGCGAGGGCATGGCTATGTAGTCGCAGTAGTTGGATGGATGGCGCGAAGGTTTGAAAGATTGCACGAGTCACGACTTGCACATGAAGGCGTGGGGATAGCAACGGTCAGTTCGTCGGGTTGTGGGCAGCAGCGGCTTTCAGGCAAAGGCAGGCAGATAGCCGCAGTTCAGGCGAAATCTTCCTCTTCTGCCGTGGCGATGCGCAGTGCAGTAGTGCGATCGGAGGGCAGAGTCCACTCGTAGGCCCGATCCGTGATCCGACCGGTGGGCGGGGCGGTGATGGAAGATGTGCGGTCAAGGATGATAGCAGCAGTTAAAGTACGGTAGTAGTAGTATAGGTATCGACGAATATAGCTCGGGAAGTAGTAGTAGTAGTAGTAGTAGTAGTAGTAGACTAGTAGACTAGTAGTGAGGTAGTAAGTAGTGACTGTGGTAGTGGGAGTCGGTGGAGGTAGAGGAACCAGGCAATGCCTGGCTTGAGGGATCTAAGTATTCTATTCTCCGAGTAATGTATACATGTAGTAAGGTAGTTGGAGGGGGTGAACCTGAAATGCTGGTTGAGTGCAGTGAGTGGTAGTGGCTGCGTCAAGCAGTCAGAAGCGGCAAATACAGCACATGTGATGGATGACTGGGCCAGCAGTCATTTTTCCCTCACTCAGACAGAGGACCTCTCTCTCTCTCTCTCTCCCTCCGCTAGCGTAGTGTGTGTGTGTGTGTGTGTATGTGTGTATACAAAGAAGGTGGCAGTCTATGAGGCAGGCTAAAAACACGAATGGTGGTGAGTGGGTGGATGGATGGGCAGGCGAATGAAAAAGCTAGTTCCAATTACTTCCACGGTTCCAGCAGCCCCCACGTCAGCAGGCAAAGGAATAGCTCCTCGAAGGACGGCAGAGCAATTATTGGAAAGGCAAAGTGTGCGCAGAGAGCAAGTGTGAGGGTGTGATGGAATGGGCGGCGTCCGGTGTAGGCGGTAAAGGGAAAGAAAAGAGAGAAAAGGTAAAAAGGAGGTAGGGAGGTGGTCATCCAACCAATCCCAGAGAGGGATGCACAGGCAACACCCGTAGGCAGCACAGGGCAGCACACAGCCAACCACTTGCACAACCATGTCTACCAAGCAACTTCAACCAAACATCAACCAACCAGGCACGAGGAAAGGAAAAGAAAGGCTGCGCTGCACACCCTCAAACAACCAGCCGATCCTGATCATCATTAATCATTCATAATCATCCTTAATGATCCCAAGTGAATTCCTGACCACTTGTCTCTCTTGAGTCTTGACCGTCTCCCCCCCCCAATTCGTCATGCCCACCCCACGCTAAAGAGAGATGTAATCCCTGACCGCCCGCTCGATCAAAGTCAAGTCAGTCACACATACATGTACATACCCTCCCACCGCCACACCACCACCACCAACTATCAACCACCTAGGTACATGATACCTATCTACCTATCAATTCATACATGCAATGACCTTGTATACCCTAGTAACCCTACCTCATTGAAACTCTCCTCCCGCGATACGCGGACCTCTGTCCGAAAAGCCAAGTTTAACATGGAGGTAGGTAAGGTATGAGTATGACCGTATGACGATAAATTATCAATCAATGCGACCACCCAGCCATGTTCATGCACGATGACCTCTTTTACTGTCTCTGCCTCTGCTCTGCCTTACACACCCACACCCACACCTACACACAGAGAGAGAACAATGCCTAGCTACCGACAGCAGCGTAATGTGGTTGTTCTGGTGTTACACCGATCAGCCGACGTGGGGGGAGAGAGGAGAGGGGAGGTGTACGTATGTACATTTATTCAGCCACAATATGTAGACCTGGATCGGCGATACCATGGCACACCTATACTATACTGTACTATACTACACTACACTACCGTATCTATCTATCTATACTTTTACGAGAACTGGTAATCCGGTGTGCTATCTACCTACCTACCTACCTCTTAAGTGTAAGTATGGTATGGTATGGTATGGGAGGTGGCAAATGGATATTGTCAACTTCCAAGGTCATGTTGTTTCTCAAATGATTACCTCATCAATATCACTTTCTGTTCCTTCCAACTTCCTTCCTGTACTACCTGACCATTCACTCCTACAAGCCACAACCAACAAGAGCTGCTTGCTACCTAAAGGTCAGGTCAGGTAGGTACCATTTCCATGGAATCGATGTTCACCCATGGTAGAATATCATCTTGGTATATTCATACTGTAGGTATTATCATTATTATCGGAGAGTACCTTGGCTAATATCCATGTATGTCTCTCCCTCCCTCCCTCCCTCCCTCCCTCCTCTCTCTCTCTCGCTGACCATGATATCGTCCGAGATGCACTGCCCGAGTGGGGAACGAGGCTGAGAATTCAACATCGCCGGCTCTCCCCGTTGCATTATAATTACCCTCACTGCTGCGCCAAAAGTAGCGGTCATCGATTCTCTTCTGCCTCCGCCTCCGCCTTCGCCTCCGCCTCCGCCTCCGCCATTCTCACCAGGCTGCTCATGTGCGGCTCATCGGCCTCGACCCCATAGCTGGGCCTCTCCTCAGCCTTGAGATGCTCCGGCAGCACACTTCTGCACGTGAGTGCAAACCTCAGACAGCCCTCGGGCACCACTTTGTGCTCGAGGTACTGCTGAATCTCGTAGCCCTCCATCACCACGATATCGCCGTGGTGGAGCGTGACCGTGACCATGTCTTCCGCTTTCTTCGCCTTCTTCGCGACAAGCCCCAATTCCTCGGGTATTTCTTTGCGTCGTCTCTCGTATGCTGCTTTGTCACTGCCTTTCAGCTCTTGCAGGCTGTGCCAAGCGGCAAGTCGCCTACGATACATGGCCTCGCCACCAATCGACCCCGGCACAGGTTTGTCCTGCGTCAACACTCCCGTCTTGCTACAACCCACGTAATGCTTGGTTTTCATTCGTAACATCATCTTGGCTTTGCTGCCAAGGGACATGCTCGCGATGCGAGCCCCCAGCCCACTCTCACCATCGTCGTGGTACTCCACTTTCTGACCCTCCATGTACGCAAAGACGAGCTGCTCGTTGAACTCGACATGGCCGTCAGCATCAGAAAAGTTCTTGGATGCCCAATTCAAATCCGCACGACACGCTCGAACGGGCCACGGTGCAGATGCAAAGGGAAGACTGGCACCCCCCGCCACGAACTTGTATGGCATGCCGTAGTTCATGCTAAAGGCAGTCATGAAGTCGCCATCTTCCACCGGCGCAGACTTCAACTTCAGACTGGCTGATGATCCTGTCCCAATAAATGGCCTCCTCTGCAAATGCAAATCCATTTCCGGATCATCCTGCCTCTGCATTGCCTCAAACATCTCGTCAGGGCCCCCGGGCGCACGATTGATCATCGCGTTGCTCACAGCGTGCACCAATTTCCCTTCGATGCCGTCGAATGTATAGGTAAAGATCTTGAACCCGAGCTTGTGGCTGACCCGGACGCGTACACCAAGATGCTTCGCGTACTTGTTTTGCGAAAGTGTCGGGCCATCGCCAACGCTATCCCAGGGCTGATGAAGTACAGCGGGCTTGACGGGAACATGCATCGGAAAGGACGCAAAGTCGCAGCTCGGATTGTCACACGTCCATCCTTTCCAGAGTCGACGGTGATTGCAACGCCCACACCATGGACATACGATGCCGCGTGTATTGATCTTGGTCAAGTTGTCGCCCATCACTTTCCCGCTGTCTGGCACTGGTGGCCGCACACTGTACGGCTCTTGTTCGTTTTGCCATCTCGTGCGGTCGAGCAGAAAGGCAGGATGATAAGGCAGCTTGCCGTAGGGCGCATCTCCGCCACAGGAAAGCTTCCAGAACCGCTCACAAGAAGCGTTGAGGCACATCCAGCCATTCAGATACACGTGCGGAGACTCCATCTCACAGTCGCCGCACCTTTTTCTCTTCGCAGATCCCGCTACCTTCCGATCTTCCTCTGTGATGACTTCTTGAATCGGTGCATACCAAGCGCGTTTGTTGCAGTCAAGCCTTTCAAGCCGGTACTTGACAGTGACCCATGTCTTCGTGCCCTTTCCGAGCGTCTTTTCCGCCCACACCGCAACGGGCTTGTACCATCCCAGGACGCAATATCGATGCGGCATCTGACAAATCGCAGCAGCATGCTTGTTGCCACATATGACTATGACAGGGTTCTGGTGCTCGATATCGTTGATCACGGCTTGCACTTGAGCCTCTTCCATGGAATGATTCTTCTTTTGCTGCATCTGGCCGTTCGCATCTTGTTCCATGCAGCCTCCTGCCCGAGCGATGATGAGGTCTGTGTCCATGTACTCGCGACAGTGGCCACTTCCGTCGTAGAGGAACGCGTAGACATGGCCGTTATTCTGATGACAGCCGCTTTGCGGCATTTTGAAATATGGTACCGTCTCGCATAGAGCCTGACGAGTGTCGGCCCAGACGGTAGGCTCACCTACTGATTCCGGCTTCAAGCCCAATGGCTGGCGTTCGCTGAGCTTACGAGATAATTCAAGCTGCTCTCGAACACCAAACTCGTCGAGCTCCCCAATATCGAATCCACCGCTGTCGAGGGTACCGGGAGGCGAACGGAGTCTTTGTGACTCCTCTACAGACCCTTGTGGTCCTACCACACGCTGCTCTCGTGGCTCTCTGCAGATTGGAGGGGATTCACTTGGTATGACTAGACACACAGGAAGTATGACGATTTTCGTTTTCACCTTGCACGAACTTGGCAGTCTGAGCTGTGGCCCGTTGGGTGAGTGGGGAGATATGATCGCATGATCCTCTGCTTCCGTCTCATCATCTGAGTATGGTTTGTTCGGCGTGCTGTGAGCGACATTGATAGATTTTCCGCCACTTTCATAATTGGCAAACCGCTCGATAGGCTTGGGCAAGCGCTTTGGGCGTGGCGTATTCGTGGCAATTGTTAAAGGTATCGGTGCTGGCACGGTTGGCGATGAGTCTGCTGGAACTGGTGCTTCAAATCGGGGAAGGTTTGGTGATGGCACATTTTCTGCTCTTGTCAACCACAACTGGGACCTACCAGATATACTCTCCTGGCTGCTCGTTCCATTCATCGCCTCAAAGATACTTCGCTGCTTGTTTTGTTCCGCATTTTCCCGCATAATCTCCTCTGCAACCCAAGAAGGCATGTCACTCAACGGACTGGTGGAGCCCGAGTCGACTGCTCGCGTCAATTGGGGCGGTCGGTCGAGGATGTGTGGTACTGCGGAAGGGCCGCTATTTTGGCCCTTCAAGCCTGCTATGTTTGTCTCGGGTGCAGTCTGCAGCTGTGTAGAAGTTGGATTGCCGGCTTCACCGATGACCCATGAGAGTGTTGATGCGGCCACCGAAGCTTGGAGATTAGTATTTGGCTCTGCTATGTGCAGCTGCATGTCTGGTCCTGCAACTGGCGATTCGATGCTCTCCTCCACACTTGGCTCGCCCATCGATATCTATTGTGTATCAGCTGGTGAATTGTCGGTCTCTTGTTGCGAGAGATGGGACCCCAAGGTCGGCTTCTTCTTTCGACGGATCGCAGGTCTCGCTGTCTGGCTACCTACCATATTCGCAATCGTTTCCTCTTGTCGCTTGCTCGAATTGGCTGTTGGCTCACGTTTGCCTTGCGCAAAATGGGGTCTCTGACCGTTGCGAGCCCGTTTAGTCGGTGTTACGACGTCAAGCGAAGTATCCTGAACCTTGCGCTTCACACCCTCATTTGGGCTTAGTAGAGATGACGACTTTAATGCCTTCGACTTCTGAAAAGGAGCCTCGACTTGTTTCGATTTACTGCTTTGAGGGTCGATTTCCTTTCCGAGGCCTTGAGGCGTCGACTTCGGCGTCGAATTCAGCGTCGACTTTAGCATCGACTCCGGCGTCGAGTTCGGTGTCGACTTCAATTTTGGCGTACCAAACTTCTGTAGTCCTTTCATACCAGAATCAATCTTGCCCCAAACATGATCACGGCTATCGTTCTGTCGCTTGTTCGATATTCGTTGAGAGGAACGTTCTCCCAGAAGTACTGGCCGCTTTTCTGGAAGTTGTGATTCCCGGTGATCATCATTGGCACTAAGCCTCACTTCTTGAGTCGGATCATGAGCGTACTTCGTTATGCCGTACTGGGTCCGCTCTTCTCGCTTCGGCATCTTGATGTGCGCCGTCGGTATGCTGGGAGTGCTAGCTGACGTTGGATGTAGCACGGCAAATCCTGTTGCAGCCAGCGAGCGCGTTGCGTCTGGCCGCGAGGACTTCCGATTGAGATGACTGTGATGAGGCCGTTGTTATTGTTGTAGTTGTTGTTGTTGTTGATGATGATGATGATTGAGGGCTGTGTCGAGAGGTGTGCACCGCAATGGAAGTTGTTGTTAGTGCGATGTGAAGTGAAGTGGACGTGGGAGGGTTTAAGTTCGGCGGAAGCTTGCGAAAGCGGTGGACACCAGGTTGGGACCTCAGCACGCACGCGGGCCCCATTAGTACCTATATGTATGAATCTGGTCAGTCACATGCTACCTGATGTTGTGAGAGTGAGGCAAAGTGGTGACTGGTGAGTCGTGAATGAAATGGGACCAGGAATTCGGTCATGGATGTAATGGATGCGACCTAAGGTCATGTAGGTACTTAAGGTCAGGTAGGTAAGGTACCGGATAGCCAAGCTTTCCATTCGCACCGGAACGAAAAAGATGCTTCCTTACACGCCCGCCTTCCGCAGTCCACCGCTCCTGCCTGACAGTAAAAAAGCAAAAAGAACCATTGCAACAGCATTACCTAAGGTCCCCAAGGGGTAGGCGAGCGCACGTTGCTGCGCTCAACCTGCACACGAGGTGGAGAGGCCATGCCCATTGCATTGCGTCCATCGGCCATTACTGCGCGACACCTTCGTTGTCGATAGGTACAGTACCACTCTTCATGTCTCGTCTGGAACCTCCTCCACAAGAGAGGCGCTCCGAGCCGCGTGTCTCAAGTACGAGAAGCGTGTGATGCGTGATCACCGACGGAGAAGAGGGCAACATGTCACGATATGGCAGCATAACCCCATGGCAGACGAGTTCAATCGTTGAACATAACCACTCGCGTCGGGTCATTGACAAAAGCACGGCGGTACTCAGCAATGCGCTGGGCAATTAGTCCTGCATCCTTTCCAATCGTTCCGCTGGTGCGAAGTTCTTTGATCAGGTCGTTCAGTCCTTGCTTCCACCTTTTATCTTGCTCGGGACCACGAGCAGGAGTGCGTTGGGTGCCCATCAGACGAAGTAAGTCGTTGTCTGTGACATTAGTTGCCAGGCGTTAGTGAGCGCAATAGAAGCAATAGCCGGTATTGAAAGCTGTGGGCATCTTCATAGCCACGTGGGCAGGAACAACACGTACCTTCGAGCATCATGTCACGGAAATGCTGGTAGCCGCATTCCTTGTCCGTGCACTGCCCACTATGCATCTCGGTGGGACATACGGGTCGCATCGAATCTATCTTATGATTGTACGTCAGGCTTTTAAACCCAGTAGAAACCGTGTTAGTAAACTCTGGATGATAGCGATAGTCCTTGAAATGCTTCAGGACACTGTCGTATGGCGTGTAGAGGGATTGACGAGGGGGTGCGTCGTGTGTAGAAGCCCGATCCTGGCCGTCATTCACAGGCTGTAATTCAGGCGCGAGGTCGACATCAGGACATGGGTCCTGAGCAGCCTGGCCGTCATTCGCGCCCGCAGACACTGCTGAGCGCATCGGAGACGCTGGAACCGGCGCCACGGCCAAGTCAGTGTCAAGATCGGGGTTGCTGCTTTCGCTGTCACTATCACCGGAAGCCTCCTCTGAAGTGTCCATTGCATCATCGCTATCTTCGTCCTCCTCATCGGCGTGGGGCGGATGATCAAGTGGCGTAGTCTCAATAGCTGGTGGCGGCTCATAGACATTGTCTAAACCATCGTCTCCCTCGTCTTCGTCTCCGTACGACTTGTCAGGATAATCAACATCAGCCGCAGTGGACTCAAATGAGGCCTCGCCAACTGTCCTGTCCACTTCCATAGCGTGGTACAGATCGTCATCGGCACGATCGAGTCGCAACCCAACTGCTTGGGGCCCTGCCGTATCGACGGGCGCGTCTTCTGGTACAGTGATGGCACTGGAATCCACAAGCGGAGACCTTCGAGTGCCTTGGGGCTGTTGGAGATCTGTCGCCTGGGTCTCACCATCTTCGCCATACAGATCTTCGTCGTCACCGTCGTCTATGTCACTTGTTGCGTCATTCGCGTTGAATGTTGCAGGGTGGTCATCAACGGCTGCAGAGGGCGACTTCGTCTCCGAAGAAAAAGCAGTATTGCCGGAGTCCTGCTTGGGACCCAGTAGTTTCGACTCATTCTCTCGTTCTTCTTTATTCTGTGTCAGTGCTGAAACTTTGGCAGCGATGGCGGAAGTTGGTGTTTGCGAGTCGCGGAGAGGAGTGCTGATTCCGTTCCGCAAATGTGGTGAAGAAACGCGTACACTGCCGCTCGGAGATGAAGGGAGTGCTGAGCTTGGGGTAGGCACTTTACGCCTTCCTTTTCCTTCCATCTTAGCGATATTCTGTTTGAGTGCCGCAGCCTTTTCCAGTATGCTCTGCCAAGACTCTGGAGTAGCAGGAGCCGACGGGACAGTAGAGTTTGATGCTTTATTCGTCGGCGCCGTAGCTTTGACCGCAGCAGTGGGAGGCGGATTCACTGCTGGTGCCTGTTCCTCCTCCGAGCTGCCACCGATGTCCATTTCATCGCCATCATCATCCTCTCTGCCCTCATCCTCGACGCTACTAACCTCGATGACACATCGCTCGGTAGAGCTTGGGTCATGAAATTGTCCGAACGGCTGCTGAGTTGCATTGATGCCACTAGCTAGTCCGCTTGATGACAATGTGGATTGTTGTGCTGAGGCAGAGTATGTAGTCGTGTTGGGCCGAGGGCTTGACCTGGGTAGCGTTGACGGCGGAGCGTGCTGATTGTAAAGCCCCGGCAGACTGAGTCCGGGAAGGCTAAACTCGCCGCGATTCACGATGGGTGAAGCTGTCGTAGAAGAGGGCACTGCACGTGTGGTTGGCATTTGTTGTGAAGGCTGTGTGGGGGCCAAAGCCGGGACACTCCGACTGGCGATCGTCGCGGAGGCTTCTTTCAATCCGACACCTGGTCCAGATCTAGGTGACGGTGCAGGACTAGAGGGCTGATTTGCTTCACTGGACAATTTAGCGCTCTGCCCCGCAGCTTTCTGAGCAGCCTTGAGCGCAATCAGTCTCCTCTGTATTTCTGCCGTGTTCGCCTTCGCTATAACAGGTTTCTTGACAGGCGCAGTGGCAACTGGGGGTACGGTTGGCGTTGTCAAAGGGGTTGGCTGAGGTTGTGCAGGAGTTGCCGTCTGTACCATCTTAGATGAAGGCTGTACCGACTGTGCTGCGTGCGTCGCTGCTGGGGGAGTCGCTGGGACGTTTGCGGTCCCGCTCTTCTTTCCCTTGACTGCCTGCAGTTTGGCAAGGTATGCACTGTTGTCCTTGGCCTTTGCAGGGTTTGCAGGCGGTGGTTTACGGGTTACATTGACCGGCGATGCGACAGATTGAGACGCGACCGGAGCCTTGACACTGCTCGATGGTGGAGGAATTGGTAGTCCAAGTTGGAGGTATAGGCGACGTAACATCTTGTGGTCTTTGACCTCTCGCGCCAGATCATCATATGTATAACCAGCCTTGTGCATCTCCAGCACGAAGGCTTTGGACGCCGCTTCCTTGTTCGGTCTCACATCGCTGCTGGGTGGTCCAGGTGCCTTCCCATTGGCCATAATCGGTGCGGGTATCGTCGACGATGATGCGCGAGGTGTCATGCCAGGCCTAGAAACGGGCCGCGCTTGGTGTTGAAATTGATGTGAGCCACGCCTGCTGAAGGCCGGCCCCTTTGGTGGCGTGCGTAGAAAACCACGTGCTTGTGGCGTGCTTCCTCCATCCACCTCACCGTCCTCAATCTCACCGTCCTCATGATCCATATCAACATCTCCGTTCGTCGAATGTGAATTCTCCGGCGTATTGGCGACGGGCTGGAGCTGGGCGGGGGTTCGAGGATCGGTGACAGGCGCGATGGTAGGAAGGTTGGGATGTGGTGGAGCGAATCCTACAGGTGGCAGAGGCAAGGAACCATTCTGCAGTGACTGAGCGATTTGAGCTAGGATTGCAGGTGTTAGAACACCCTGTTGTAGCATCGCCTGCAGCGCTGGGTCCAAGGTAGGCATGGACGCCGGCATTTGCTGAGAAGGTGTGCCGTTCATAGGTGGTGTTTGCGCGTTCTGCTGTTGTAGATAAGATGGGGGGTGGGCTGGGAGCTGGCCACCGCCGCCGAAAGGAATGGGGACGTTTGACATGGTTATCAAGAACGCGCCGGAATACACGACGAGGGAGCGTTACCATTTACGTTCATAGTCGCCTTTTGGTCGCGTCCTCGAGCAGGCTCAGCAAAGGCTTTCGCGCTGTGCGTGTCGCGCGTGTCTGCTCGTCGACGAGAATTGGCGACTGCTGCGGTAGGTATGTCCGAGGCGCACACGCGCGTTGTTCTCAGATGTCTGATGGCCGCCACGGTGTTGCCTCTGCTGTCGTCGCCCGTCTCACGCAATCTGTCGTGCACGTGTACGTGTAGAGCACACGGAGGAGTGTCGATGACCACGGAGCAATGGGATATGCGCAGTTGGGCGGCAGTAGTGGCCAGGGCAGGATGAGTGAGAGTACAACTCGGAGGTGCATGTAGGTAATAGAACTGCTAGGAGGTGGAGGTGGGAGGTACCTAGTTGGGTTTTTAGTGGGGATGGCAATGGCACGGTCCGCGATGGAACTATACCTACCTAGGTACCTTGCGCCTCTGCGAACGTTCCAGTCCATTGTTGTCGTGATCACATTCAACGCCATGTAGCAACCACTTTCCACTGCGAGTGTAAGTCCTCATATCACTCCTAAGCACACATTAATCGCCATCCTGTCATCGTTATGGCGTCCATCACGTTGCGCGCGCCCACTTTTTCACCTGCGAAGCCACCGGCTGGCTTCCAGACTCCAGCCATCGCGTGGCTCACGGAAACATGGCACGTTACGCATTCGACCTTGCCTATGTGGAAGAGCAAGAAGAATGTACGCATACAGTATACCCCCCTCGAGCCTTCGAGACCCGATATTGCCAAAGAGAACACGGACAGACTCGATGATCTAGTGACCTCGCAACCTCTGCATGGCGACAAAGTCTCTTCGATCCGTGGCGTCGACAAAGCGTCCGGCAGCGGCGAGAGCAGGGGCGAATGGGACTGGAGAGGTAAGGGCTGGCTCATGATTGCGAGCAGTCACTGGGAGGTGCTGGGCTGGGGGGAAGAAGAGCACAACAATGGCAACAAGTGGGCGGTCACCGCCTTTGCGAAGACGCTGTTCACGCCTGCGGGCATCGACGTGTACTCGCAGAGCCGCGCCGGGGTGTTACTAGAGACACTCGAAGGCATCAAGTCTGCGCTGGCGCAAGTGGACGACCAGGACGTACAGAAGATGGCTAAGGACATTTTCGAGGTTATGATTGATGATACGAGGAAAGACTAGATGCGGGATGAAGACTGCTGCCCAGAGAGCTCAAGGTTGTGCGGGTGCGATATGTCGTCTCATTAATGTTTGGTGTAATACGGTATTCAGGGCGCAAAGAACAGAGGCAACTATTCATCTACTCTATCATGCGTACTGTATTTATGTCTTGAAGCGGGATCAGCACTGCAAGGATGACTACATCATACGAAATACAGCTGTGCTGCTCAGGCGCGCGATAGTTCACCAGAGTGATTGCCGCCGGACTGGATTCATTCATTCATACATACATTACAAGAAGGTAAGGTATACTAGGAGGTATAGTACATGCTTTTTGGGCTACTTCATGATTACGTAGCTATGGGAAACATCGCTTCGATGAGTACATTGCTGCACAAGATTCACGACGCTCCACGACGCCGGCGAAGTGCATCTTACGCCATTTTGCCGCTCTTCCGCACAGCTACTGTGTATGCCTATACCTAGGAGGTACGTACCTCCTACCTCCTAAAGCTACTTACACGCTTCTAAGGCTTGAGCCAGATCATCTGCCGATGCAGCCATAGACGGGGCGAATGTGGTTCTACTCTACATACACAATCAATAAGTACCTCTTAGCTGGCACACGTCCACCGACATTCTTGGTGCACGAAAACTTCTGCCGCCCTTCGCACCACACACAACAATGCGTACTGCAGCAGCACAATTCGACGATATTCCAGGCCAGCTTCCTGAGGCCAAGGTACCCGAAGATGCCGACTACGCCAGTATTGGACAAGCGACCATCGAAAAGCTGAACAACCTGCAAGACCATGATCTTGCACCGTTCGCTATCTGGCGAGACCTCCTATCGCTCACTGACACTTTCCGCACGTTCCAATCTGCTGAGACTGTCTTCAAAAACTTCACGCATCTTCGTGCCGAGAAGCATTGCTCAGACTTCCGTCTGCACAACGAGTCTGAACCCCGACGAACTGATGCACCGGATCCTCCTACCAGTTGGCTGAATTATGATGTCTCGTTTACGGTCAATAATGGAGGACTTATAGGGGTCTGCGCAGGGACGGTGTCCGTAATGCTCACTTCCAGTGGCGACTGGAAAATTTGGATGCTGTGTACTTGGTTGGAGAACTATGAGAACCACGGTCACCCGGATCAAACCGATGCGAAGAGTGATAGCGAAATTTCGAAGAGTGACGACACCCAGGTCTACGAGGCTGCTATTATCGGCGGTAAGCTGCATCTATCGAAGTGTAGCGTTTCTGTGCAATGTGCTGATATAGACTTCTATATTACCAGGTGGCCAAGGAGGTCTTGGTGTGGCGGGTCGCCTCAATGCACTAGGAGTCCGCAACATCATGTTCGATGAACGGCCCTCGATTGGTGATTCATGGGCCGACCGTTATGACTCTTTGCACTGGCACACGATCAAGGAATAGTATAGGGCATTTCCTCGTGAAAGAATGTGTGAAGTCGTGCTAACTTTCGAACAGCGGCAACCTGCCACTCGGCCGGACCTTCGACAAGGACGATCCGGATCTACTTCCTCGAGAGCGTATCGCCTCCGCATATAAAAACTGGTCCAAAAAGCACATGCTAAATGTCCGCGAACACACGCAGATCGTGGGTGCCAAGTGGGATGAATCCAATCGGATTTGGTCAGTTGAAGGCAAGACTCCCTCAGGAACGCAAGTATGGAAGGCCAAAAATCTCGTCTTGACCATTGGGCCGGGTCACAAGACTCCCGTATCGCCAGACTGGGCAACGCCCGAAAAGATCAAGAGTAGTGGATTCAAAGGCACAATCACGCACTCCGTCCACTATCACAATACCGATGGTTTCGCCGGCAAACGAGGAATCGTCGTCGGCACCGCGAACACCGCACATGATGTCGCCGAAGACATGGCCAATGCAAAGATGGACGTGACCATTGTGCAAAGAAATCCCACCTTCATCTTCCCCGGCGAATGGCTCGTCCAAACCGAAGCCAAATCCTACCATCGCGACAAGCCCACCGAATTATCCGACAGACAAGACATCACGCGACCAAACAAGATCCAGCGAGAGCTCGCCAACCGCAACGTCCACCATCTCATCAAGCAAAACCCCGAACTCTTCGACGGTCTCGAGCAAGCCGGATTCAAAGTCCATCGCTACGGCGATCTCTTCACACATCTCTACGTGCGATTCGGTGGCCACTACATCAACACGGGCGGCTCCAACCGTATCATCAACGGCGAGATAAAAGTCCAAACTGCAGCGGTGAAGGGTCTGACTCCCGAAGGATTGTTGTTTGAAGATGGAACGACAGTTTCTGCGGATTTGATCGTGTTGGCGACGGGCTATAATCACGATTTTCGGGATGATGCGTCGCAGATTTTGGGGACGCATGTTACGGATCAGATGGATGATTATTGGAGTCCTGATGCCGAAGGGGAGTTGAGAGGTTATGCGAGATTTGCGGGTCGTAAGTTATCTACTTTTTACCTTTTCCTTTTCACTGTCTTCTGAATAACACTGGCTGACGAAGAGTGTGTTTTTTCTTCTTCTAGATCCATCGTTATACTACGGCGGAGGAGAATGTCGATCTGCAAGATTCTTTTCCCGGTTTATTGCATTACAGATTCAGAAGGAGAGTCTAGGATATCCTTTACAACCTTATCTCGAGGGTAGGAAGTAGGAAGTGAAATAAAGTGAGATAGAGTAAATAGATAAAGGACCGAGCACCGATGTTTCTTATAACTAGACTAAACCAGATTTTGCCTTGTCTTTTTTGTAATGAGACAAAGGCGCACAGTGCAAACTTCCATAGCGTGACTTATCCTAAAGATTTTCAAATCTCCAGCCCAAACATAGCCTTAACGGATCTTGTGGGTTGGTTGATGCAATAATCATTCAGGGGTACACTCTGTACATAGATATAGAGCCTACCAAGGACATCATCTCTCTTACGAATATTAGCACGATATCGTGATCTGGAACAGAGTCGTCAAGACCTTGGATGTTATCCTCTCGACTGCTCCCCAAAAGAGACGGCATAGAATAATCAGCACGAGTAGTCTTTGAAGCTGAAGACGATAAGAAGAAGCCCCTACTTTTCGATTTGGTCATGCTACCACTACTACTACCTGACTGTAGAGAACCAAAAGCAAAAGAAAAGGGGAAAGGGTGTAAAGTTCTTATTCTTCGAACAGAGGAAGATTTGTGCTTGCTAGTGAAAAGATATATCGGCTTGTACTGTACATACATACACACCGTGAGAAAAGGAGAAAGCCGAGCTTTCTTTTTTGAAGGGTAAAGATTTTTCTCAAAAAAAGAAGCCGTAGTAGTTGTGAATTCAGTCCTCCTCGGCCAATACAGACCAAATACCTCACATCTCCGGCGCCAAAACAACCTTCTCAAAGCCTTCCATACTACCATTGAGAACCAAATATACCTTGGCTGCAAATTCTTCCAACTGCTTCACCACCACCTCTACCACTTCTTGATCATCATCCTGGCGAGTTTTTCTCTGCAAACTCGCTAACAGCAGAATGTTGAATACAGTCATTTCTCCGAGTACGCCTCCGAGAGGTATGACTTTGGCTTCGATAATGTCGAGCACAGCGAGTGCGTGGAGCATTTTTCGCAGGGCATCTTCTGCTGCGTTGAGATTGAGGAGTTTGGAGTGGATGGTGAAGAGTCGAGAGTAGGCTTCTGCGACGGCTGTGCGAGGGAGATTGGGAGCGTAGGAGGTGTCTGGGTAAGTGGTTTGGATTTCCGAGGCGAGCGCTTTGGCTTCTGTGATGAGATCTGCGGTGAGGGTGGTGGGTAGCGGCGCGGAGACTTTGGTGCGCAGTGTTTCACGGTGAGCGAGCATTTCTAGGGGTAAGAGAGATTAGCTTTGTGGATGCAAGTCAAAGATAGCTGTGATTTGAGACGACTTACCTTTTGAGGTTTGTGACTCTGCGGCACATACACGACACTCGCATTTGAAGCCCCAGATTCGATGCATGGCTTGTAGTTTCTCGGTTTGGTCGATATATTCGCCGTACGAAATGGTAATTTCCTCGCCTTCGTCAATGTCTCGGGTGGCTCGCAACGTCAGCACGCCATCCTTGAAGCTTTTCTCTGCATTCGGCAGACAAGAATGATTACAGTAGGCGAAATGGCACCAAAGACCACTAGCCGACGGACTATCTGCAGAGACGCGATTGGGAAAAGCCTTTGGCTGCAAGTTTGCAGGACAAGCGATGGCGTTGTTGCACCATATTTCGTGAATGTGGAAGATGTCGATGACTGGCTTACCATCGATCAGGCATGGTCCACTGCATGGCATATCGACTGGTCCTGAGTGTAGATTAAAGACCTTGATTGCCATGTCTCGATCCTGAGAGAGCGCATTGGCGAGCTCCTTGTATGGCGCCCCTATGTCCTCCGTCATCATGTTCTTGGAGAGGTCATACTTCAGCGCGCGAAAGGCGCAGTCTTCATTTGGTGATAAGAAGAACGTCGCCTCCTCAGACATGATCTTGTCGCCGAATTTGAAAGCTTTTTGGGCAAAAAGTCCACGACCAGCTCTTTCCATGTCATTGACCTTTGTCGCGCTGATATCATTCAGAGATTCGGAGCAGCAGTTGGCGTTAGTGGAGCTGGACCCCAATGGATCGGTACTGTTGGAAACAACGGGCCCATCCATGCGCCATTTGAACGGGATCTTGCTGTGGTCCGGCGGCAATATCATGAGATCTGTAGGATGCGATAACTTGATTCGTGGCTTTCCACTACCATCTACCTTGCAGTAGGGCTCTTTGATCGCGACGACGGCATCAACAGGAATGACCTGGTCTCCAGCAAAGCTGAATGCGTCTACGAGAAGGAGCTCGCACGTGCCTGTCTCATCTTCGACTCCGTACGTGCCTCCAACAGGGGACGTTGCAACTGGGCCAAAGCGGCGGACCACGAGTACCTTGTCGACGTGGCGTGTTTCCAGAAGTAGATCTTTGATCTGAAGCCAGCAGTCCAATTCAACTAACGACTTGCCGCATGCTGGGTACGGCCTGTCCACTACGAGGACTTGTAAGTCCCCCTTCTGGCCGATCTGCTGAGCCGCTGCTCGGTCGCGGACGCTCTCAATTTCGTGATGTATGTCGATTCGACTAAGAAACGGGGCTTCGGATCGCGGTTTGCCCTTGTGAACTGAGGCCTGCTGCTGTTGTGCGAGGCATGCAGCTCGGATCTGATTGACAAGAGCATGTTTTCTCTCCCGGTCTTCCCACGTCTCGATCATCTTGTTCGCGGTGTGGTGGCCTTGAGTTGTCACAGCAGGGGAGACAGAGAACGAAGTGTTGATGTGAGTTGTAATATCGGAGAGAATGTTTGTAGGTGTTTTGGAGCCATGTTGAAGCGTAATCAAGATGCCACTGGCTGCAGCTGCACCTGCCCATTTACGTCCACTGATCGCTCATTCACTTCATCTTATATTTGCCTCTCCCTATGACAGCAACCGATCGACTGTAACATCGACCGCACGAGTGGTGCGCGTGCACTCTTTCCATCGCATCGAAGCGGAATGTGCATGGCATGCATGGCACATACACATCATTAACTCGCTGTACTTAAATGCACCTTGATTCTTGGTAGCGTCCACACATCAGTCTGGCCAGCGTGGGAGCTGAGCTTTGGACACAAAAGCGACGCTAAAGCGCGCGGTCCCGCGCCTTGGCAAGTGAAGTTGAAAGCAGACCCCTGCATTGCCTGCTCAAATCTGTCGGGCCGATGAGTTTTTCCGCCTCAGGCAGGTGCTTGTCGGGCTTTCTAGAATGTTCAGGTGCAGTTGTGATGATATGTTTTGAAGCTGCTGTCCCTCCATAGTAGCAGCAATATCTACCCCATTCATTGTACTTGCACCAGGTAAGCGGACGACATCTCCCTTCAACATCGCTTCCATGATGAGACACATCGCTGGCACCAGTCCGAGAAAGACTTGTACTCTTTTTGCTGCGGATTAGCATTGCACGAGACTCGATCTCCCTCTCTGAATAGTCCACCTCTTCCCCTTCGTTATCATGCTCTCCCAAATTATCTTCCTGGACTCGCGTACTGATAGAAGCTATATAGGCCTCTCAATCTTGCCCTAAACGTCCCGAACGAACGCCATAGCGGCACAATGGTCCTTCACAACCCCAACAACTGGCATTGGGTCAACAAGGACGTCTCGGCTTGGACTAAGGATTATTTAGAGAAAGATCTCGTTGGGATCAAGGCGGAGAAGAATGGCATCAGTGCCGAGGTCAGCAAGGTGCTGAGCATGGACGGAGATGTGGATGTTTCTCAGCGGAAGGGCAAAGTCATCACTATCTTCGATGTGCGGTTACAGCTGGAATGGAATGGCAGTATTCCAGTCAAGGAGGAGCACGAGAACGATGACGGCACCAAGGAAGAGCGCGAGGGCAAGAAGGATGTCAGTGGAACAATCACAGTGCCAGAGGTTGCACATGATACAGACGAGGATGATTATGTCTTCGAGGTAGAGCTCTACTCTTCATCTCTCGAAAAGGAACCGGCAAAGGACCTTGTACGCAAGGAGCTCACACCACAGCTGCGCAAGCACTTTCAAAAGCTCGCCCCGGCTCTGATAGCGGAACACGGCAAAGACGTCCAGCATGCACCTAACGAGAACCCATCGGCAAAGTTCACTCCAGCTAAGACCTATAGCAACTCGGGTGTTGAGAAGTCTTCTGGTACGTCGGCCTCGTCGAATCACACATCTCACAACAATGGCTCAGTTGTAAACACAACAAGTCTCTCCGATCAACAAGAATTCCGGACCACCGCGGATCAGGTCTACGAAGTTTTCACTGACCCACAGCGCATTGCCGCGTTCACGCGCGGTACCCCCAAAGTGTTCGAGGGTGCAAAAGCAGGCGGCAAGTTCGAAATCTTTGGTGGAAACGTGTCGGGAAGCTATGTCAAGTTGGAGAAGCCAACATATCTGGAGCAGAAGTGGCGGCTGGCGCAATGGCCTGCTGGTCATTACAGTACGCTGAAGATCAAGTTCGAGCAGAATGATGTTGATGGTGTGACCATCATGAGAGTCGATTGGGAAGGCGTACCCATCGGACAGGAAGAGCCGACGAAGAGGAACTGGGATGAGTATTACATTCGAAGCATCAAAACCACATTTGGCTTTGGAACGATTTTGTAAATGAACACGTATGAGATGGGTTATGGATGGCCGAGTGGATGAGAAAATGGGAAAAATAAGTCGTTTGTACTATTCCATGCCTGCTAGAGTAGTATCGTAACCTCGCTTCGATAGGCCTCCAAGTCGCATAGCGCCCAGCAATATGTCACTTCTCTGAAATCATGTTCGAGTAATGAAGTCCATTGCGTCCAAGGTTGCAGTGTGTTGTTGTTGGTACCAAGATCTAGGTACACAACGTGCCTTCCTGACCTACCTGACTTTTCTTTTCCTATCCCCATGCCGCCTACTTAGTACCTTAAGTACGTAAGGTACCTAGGTTCACATAGAGCACATTTTGTCACCAAAAAGGTTTACCCAATTCCAAAAAAAAAGGACGAAAAAAATAAAAAACAAGAGCGATTGTTGCTAACAACTAGTTCATAACAAACTACAGTTACTCGCGCAGGGGATCGAACCCAGGACCTTGTCCGTGTGAAGGACACGTCATACCACTAGACCACACAAGCTCATATTTACTGACACCTCCGTTGGGGTGTAGCAGCGATGACTAAGCAGCCTTTTCAGAGTATATGAAGCTCATCAGAAGCGTGCGTAGGCAATGGCTTCCGTGTGCCTAGGGCTCGAGAAGTGTGTGTCGACAGTTGAGGGATTCTGTACTGCCTTAGAAGGAGCTTAGAGGGAAGGGGTATACGAGAAGAGTATCTATAAGAAAATGGTCTCACTCTCCCTTTTCTCTCGACTAATTTGGCGGATTCTAGATAGGCGAGATCCTTTTGGGGCGGGCGAAAAAGGATAAAGGTGGGTTGGTTGGATAGGGCTTGTAGGTACAGTAGCTTTTTCACCCCACGAGCCGCGGCTGTTCTAGAACTCCCTACTATCTGATTATTGCGTGTGAATTTTTCTCTTTTTTTTTCTTTCTTTTATTACAACTACAGAGCTCATTGCCTGTTGGTGCGCGGCTGTGTGCGCATACATACAAGTATTTTTTATTTGTACAGCACGCCTGTAAAGGAAGGGTTTTTTTAATCTTTGCTCTACCTAGCCTCCCTCCACACCGAAAGCTACAGCTCCATTCATCCATCCAATCATCAGCACGCGCGAGGATATCACCAACGCTCCAGCCCACCACACCCTTTTTGTTGCCTTCTGCTGGTGGACCTACCTCCTACGAGCTTCTTCTCTTCTCTGCAAGGGAAAAGAGAGAAAAAAAAAATATAATCACCAATCATGTCCAAGAACGACGAACTCTCCGAACCTCGAGAAGGAGGAGGAGGAAGAGAATCAGAATCGGTGGAACACATCAACGTCGAGCCCAAGGGAACATCCACAACTACAACAACAAAAACCGGACAAATCGTATCCGCGACACCAACAACTACAACATCGCCCGAGCAGCAACAACAACAACCTCCCACCCAACCCACCACCACCGTCACCTCCCTCGAGCGCAGTAGCACTCGCAAATTCGCCTACCTCCGCAAACCCCAATTCTGGTTCGTGCTCCTCCTCTCCCAAGCCCTCGCCGTCACCATCACCGGAACCAACACCATCACCTCTCTCCTACGCGAAGAAAACTGGGCCATACCAGCCTTCCAATCCCTCTTCAATTACATCCTCCTCAATCTCGTATATTCTTCTTTTACAATCTACCAATACGGTTTCCGCAAATGGCTCAAACTCCTCTACAAAGACGGCTGGAGATATTTCATTTTAGGATTCTGCGATGTACAAGGCAATTATTTTACGGTTTTGGCGTATAATTATACGACGATTCTGTCTGCGCAATTGATTAATTTTTGGGCTATTGCTGTGGTGGTGTTGGTGTCGATTGTGTTTCTCAAAGTGCGCTATCACTGGTTGCAGTATGCGGGAATTCTCATCTGTTGTGGTGGATTGGGGATTTTGGTGGCTTCGGATCATATTACGGGATCGAATGGAGGGCCCGCTGCGGATCCGGTCAAGGGAGATTTGTTTGCGTTGGTGGGTGCGACGTTTTATGGTTTGACGAATGTGGCCGAGGAGTTTTTGGTGTCCAAGAGGCCGATTTATGAGGTTATTGGGCAGTTGGCTTTTTGGGCTATGCCGATTAATGGGGTGCAAGCGGCAATCTTTGATCGAGCATCGTTTCGATCTGCTACCTGGAATGGCAAAGTGGGTGGCTATCTGGTTGGATACACTCTTCTTCTGGCCTGGTTCTACTCCGCTGTACCTCTTCTTCTGCGCATGGCAAGTGCAGCCTTCTTGAACATTGGATTGCTGACGGGAAATTTCTGGGGCGTCATTGTCGGCATCCGTGTGTTCGGTCTGACGATTCACTGGATGTACCCGATTGCTTTCGTTCTGATTATGCTCGGACATTTCATCTACTATGGAACCGAGGGAGTACTAGGTGAAGCAAAGAAGCCCTGGTTGGGAGAGAACCAGGAGGGCGGTAGTGATGGTATCGGAAGTGCTCGCCGAAGGCTCCAGAGGCCGAATGTCATTCTGTAATCTGTCTATAGCCATTTATCATGTCAGTCCTTTGAAGGAACCCAGGTCCTGTCATACAAAGCATGGACTCCTGGTGCGTGTCTCATCTCATGCGCCTGTGTATGTATTCCCAAAAGATGCGCCAGTCATCGACTTCTATGATAGCATCGCATCTTCTCTCACGAAGACGAAGAACACCTCCTCCTACCCCTGGGCAGATTCCAAAGTAAAAGTACATGCAATAGTCGTGATTCGTGAGTCGTGAGCATCATCACATTCCTCCCTGAATGGCAAAAGAAGCCAAGATGAGAACCAGAGCATTCGTGATACCCCAGCCAAAGGGAACCCAAGTCGACATGCGGAAGAAGCCCGAGGTATACACACCACCCAGCCTGATCATCTCGCCCCATCAGTAGTTGCACCGTTTTTCCTCAACAAAAAAGAGAAAAAAAAAGGAATCTCGTGCAAGAGGGAAAAGCAAAGCAACTCACAATCCGCCCGTCACACAACCCGCAATCACCGCCTCAATGCCTCCAACCACACCGTACATCACGGGTACCATCCAAATCATCTTCCAATTTCGCCACTGAATGGCACAGGCATACGCAGCTGCGATCATATGTACTCCGCCCACGACGATCAAGGTCCAGTAGAGAGTAAAGCGCCACATCGATTCGGCGTCGTAGAGGTAGACATTTTGAGGTCCGCTCACGGGGAAGGGCCAGTATAGGGACGGAAAGGGAGGTGCTTCATAGGACAAGGGCTTGGGGTTGACTTGAAGCCTGAGGAAGCGGTTGCTGGAGGAGGGAATTGTTTGTTGTTGTTAGTTGGATGCTATCGCTTAGCTGTACATGTATTCTGTAACCAGTTGGACAGGGACGTACGTCATGTTGTCAGTCTTATTCGTTTGTCTAGGTACATTCACCTCGAACTCGCGACAAGCATGAAGTTCATGATTTTTCTTGGCGAGATCGCGATGGAGGAATGGGTGTTATGAAAGGCGTGTGAGCAGATAGGAGGGAAGGACGGACTATTTTAAGCGAGCCAATCACAATCCGACCTCGGCACAAGACTTCACTTCCATGGCGACGCCATCAGCACATGCAACATACATCCACTTCGCCATACGATCCCATCTTCCATCACTATAACAGGATCGTGGCCATAGCTGCTACAAGATGCCCAGCGATCGCCTTCTGGGCACGTTGCTGAGGCATTTGCAGATCTATACAGATCAGCAAGATACTCCAAGGTTGCTTCAGCTTTACTGGCGCGTTGGTCAACATATGCTGACCTCCCCATAGGCTCTTCGGGACCGCGTCGTCTCTATTGACCAGTCTGAATAACCCATTAAACGTCACGCTCTTGACAAGCCAGCTGCTCTCCGCTCCAGCAATATGGACCGCTCCAGAAGGATTGCGATCGTGCATGCGAATGATCAGCGTATTCCATGCTGCCGCACAAGCTCTGATCAAACATGAGAATGCCGTGCGAGACAAAGTGCCTGATGTAGAATTCTCGCAACTGCAGCACGAGCGAACTTTAGCCAAAGAAGACTGGATCCAGGCGGTCATTGGTGGTGCTGACGATCACTCGCCTCGATGGCGGCATTTACTGGCGATTTCGGGACTGCTCCTGGGGTTTGGAGCTCCGGAGGATGAAAATATATCTCTCAATATGCGAAACAAGCTCGAGAGTGCTCTGGTCACTGCTGCTAACCTCTCTTTGGAGGAAATACAGGATGGCGACGAGTTGGCGCAGGGAGGCATTACGCTCGTGTTAAACCACTGCTTCCCTGTCTTGACAAACTATGAGCGATCGAAGCTGGCGTACGATCTGTTGTTGCCGGTACTCATGAAAACCACTTTCTATTCGAGTGAAGGGCTGCAGTCGGCCTACTTCCTTGGAGCACTGGATCAAGACATACAGGTAGCAGGCAGTGGCAAGTTAAGCTGGTCAGAACAGTCGCAATCATACCAACGGATCCAGCATTTATCATCGGGGCCGTTGATCAAGTCGCTCGGGCCACTAGCGAGACTGGTTGGACATACGATAGAACAGGTCCGAGATCCTTGGCTAGTCACAGCAGCGCTGGATGATCTCAGCAATTTCGCGAGGACAGTCATCACGCAATGGAGGCAGAATAGGCTATGTGGCGTCGAGACTTCCGAACAGTCCAAATATCTGGATGAGAACACCATCACCACGACGTCGCCAGCATTGTTCCGCTTACTGCAATCCGTCCTGTTCTCCGCCGTCATCATCATGCGAAGTGGTCTCGGTCGTGTGCTCGGAGATTCCACGCTCGCGAGCGATGATCTGGCACCCAGTATTGCACAACAGACCCTGCATATCCTTCGCAACTTGTACTTTATCACCACTCGACAAGGTGCATCGACGTTCTCGCAGTACAACTTTGTGTACTATACCGCAATGGACATCCTCAGCCAATACCCTGGCAAAGTAGAGGCCTTTTTGCGAGCCACCCACCCACCACAGATTGGAACTGTTGCACATCACCCTCTCGATCGGACCCTCGACCTTTTCTTCCTCAACACGGTCGAACATTTCACGCTGATACTACCTACTCATCTCACGGCGGATATCATCGTCCCTGTTGTGACATCGTACCTTGCTGCTGGCGGCAAAGGACCCCTTCTACCCGTCTTCGAAGCGGCGCACAGCGTGACACTCGCTGTTTTCTCCGCGCCACAAAATGCTCAAGCAACGATTGCCAATCTTCCCTTCTACGTGGATTCCCTCTTTCGAGTGTTTCCCTCCAACCTCTCCGCGCGCCAATTCAGACTCGCATTCAAGGCGCTCCTCAAGCTGACTTCTCCCCCATCCGCCCTCGCTGTGGAACAACCCATGATGCCCGCCGTCCTCCTCGACCTACTGCACGACCGAGCGCTACGCGCAGAAACCACACCCATACCGATCCACCCGGGCACTCCCGAGGGATCCACCGAGTCTCCCATGCCATTATCCGAACAAACCGTTCTCACGCTCACCGTCATCGACGGTTTAACGCAAGTTCCCCTCGACCTTCTCGACGAATGGCTACCCATCACAGCGGACATGATCCACGACATCCAGGATGGGAATATGCGAGAACATAGCAAGCAGCACTTTTGGCACATTCTCGTCGAGAGTGGAGAGCTGGATCCCGAACGCAGTCGTGTCTGTCATGCGTGGTGGAGTACGGGAGGTGGGAAAGAATGGGTCTTGTATGGTAGAGATGAGGCGGCGTTGATGAGTGGTGGACTCGATGGTGGGGGGATGGCGGAGAGTAAGCTGTGAGAAGATATGATATAATATTATTTAGGTATGCATAGAGCAGGAAGTCTGAATACCTGAAATTTGTTGTTCTGTTCTACCTTACCTTGACCAGATCATGTAAGCCTGTCGACCACATGAATTGAAACATCCCTCACCCAGCCGCTGCCCAAAAAGAAACCCGCTAGCTACCACCTAACCTACCTATACCTCGGAATCCACGCATATTTTAAACTTATATGGTACCTCCTTCGACGGGGCAGTCAATTTTCGGGTCCATAGGGGAATAATTATTTGTCCAACGCTACTGTCCTAACTGAACCATGGTAGAGTATCTGAGTAAGGTAGGCAAAACGACGGTGTTGCAACTTGCCGCTCTTCACGTGCAAGGAGCGCATTCCCCGATTGGTATAGACCGGGGCTTTTTTCTTGTTTTCTGAAGCTCATGGGTAGATGCAGCTTGAGTTGTTGGTTACCTGTAAAGAATACGCGAAAGTTGTAGAAATCAGGTATGTACGTGGCTTGGTTTATAAGGTACCTAAGGAGCAAACAGGAAGCTGGGCCGATACATGTACCCAGGAGGTAGTTCTAGGTGGTCGTGGTAGGTACTCCACAATTGAAGTTGATGGGCAAAGAGAAAACGACTCAGCCTCGTTCATCTACGCACTCAAACTCGTTTGGCAACTCTTCCGACACATCATCAGCCTCTACCTTAATACTACTGACTCTCCTTGTATCCCTTCTCACTTCCTACCACACCCGCTCGCCATTGCTTCTGATTGTTTGCTTGTACCTGCTCCGCGTCCGCCAACATGTTCAAGTCGGTGCAGCGGACAGCTCACAAAGTGGGTGGGAAGAGGAGCGCCGATACAGCAGACGTGGGATCTGTCATTGCAGAATTCAAGGCGACAGATGAGATGCTCATGCGCCTCGAGAAAGAGCTGACGACCTGGCGCAATGGTTGGGACGAGATTCTCAGGTACCAATACGACTCCGCAGAAGCCTTTACCGCACTCTACAAACCCATCGAGCCACCTCCAGAACCGACTTCGAACCGCGGTCCTCCAGTGCAGACTCCGCGAGATCAGCTGCAGAGATGTCTCGGACTCCAGAAAATGTATAGCGACCTCAAGTCGGATCTCAGCCAAGAGATTGGAATGATTGCCAATAAGATCATTCGGCCGGTGAAGGAAGCCAAAGCTGCGACAAAGTCTCTGCAGAGAACGCTCAAGCATCGCGAGAATTCGAAGCTGGACTACGAGAGATATCTGAGCCGAACAGAGCATGCGAGGAAAAAGGAGGTGCGCAATATGAAGGAGGAAATGGCGCTTGCAAAACACGAGGGCGATTTGCAACAGGCGCAGATTGACTATCAGACCTCAGACGAACAGATTAAGCAGTACTTCCCGCCTGTCATTGAAGCGATTCAGGCACTCATGCCCTACATCCTCACAACTCAGATTCAAATTCAGACGACGCTCGTGGGGCAGCTGTACACGAGCTTGGACGCGTACTGTAGGCAGCAGGGACTGCCGAGTCCAGCTCCCAGCGATGCTGAGATCATTTCTACGTGGGATTCGCAGTTCACATCGCTTCGCAAAGAGTGGGAAGGGTTTTCGGACATCTTGCGGCAGGGAACGGCCATTCATATGCAAATGAACTTGCCCGATAAGGAGACGTCTTCCATGACAGGGTTTGGCATCAGGAACAGAACGTATGGGGCGATAGGAAAGGACAGAGAGACAGGGTCGGCGAGTGGACTTGGGATTAGGAACAAAGGGTCGGCCTTGGTCAGTCGCGGTAAAGCCGCAATACCGGGAAAAGGAGCACCACCACCACCACCTCCATCAGCAGTTCCAGGCGCTGCAAACGGTGGCAGCAATGGCAGCAGCCCTCGACCTCAGCAGACCACTTATCCTGGACATCATGCAGAGGAGGAAGAAGATGCGCCTCCACAGCCACCACGACCCGGCAACTTTCCCTCTCCATCGCCCAAGATCGGTGCTTCACCACTTCCGTCTCCGAGTATACCTTCGAACAAGCCGCGGATGCCCTCGTATTCGAACCTGACATCGCATGAGCGTAATGGTGGTAATGGCTACCCAGCAGACCGCAAATCACCTGGCGGAATGATCGGAGCCTACCCAGCACAAGCTCCACCACCGCCAACTTACACCGAGTCGCAAGCGTCCACCCCGTCGGCGCAATACGCCACGCCACCGAGTGGGCTCTCGCGCGTCAACTCCCACAATGACTATTTCGCGGGTGGTATGCCGCAGCTGAACCGACAAGGCTCTGCACAGTCTGGAGCTTCATCAGCGGCAAACATGGCAGCAGCAGCGAAGAAAAAGCCGCCTCCGCCCGTGCCGGTCAAGAGGATTGGATCGACGCAGAGCACGTTCGTCACGGCATTATATGACTTTGAGGGGCAGACGGCAGATGACCTGCCCTTTCGGGAGGGAGACAAAATTCGGGTCATCAAGAAAACGGATAGCACGGACGATTGGTGGGAGGGTGAAGTGAATGGGAAAAAGGGCAGCTTTCCTGCGAATTATGTGCAGTTGTGAATACATGTACCTCCTTTCTTTGGGGGGCGTGATGTGTGCATTGGCATGACGGATTAGTTAGATTTAGCGATTGGAGCGAGCGAGTGGACGGCATGCGGGCATGCTTTGGACAGCCCGAGAGTTCCTATGAAGATGGCGTTGTATAATCGTCCGTCTACAGGAGAGAGGAGGTACATACTGTAGTGTTAGTACCATGAATACAATGGATATATGTACCTGTATGAGCTGGAGGAGTGAATACAGCATCAAGCTTCATACGTGGACGTCATCGGTACCTCTCCCGAAGGCTTGACAAGCAGACTAAGACATGGTGACCAGGATGGCTGGTTCAATGGCGCGGAGTCGTGCCTGTCGCCCAGTCTTGTCCAGTCCTGACTTGTCCTGGCGCTGATGTGCCGACTTGTCTCTTCAGGTTGTCTTTGTGGTATGTGATATGTGAAGAAGTCGTCTCATTGACACTACTACTGCTCCTCCTACTACTACCACAGTACTTCGTGGTGGTGGTATCGATGTTCTAGCGCTGAGAACGGCACTCCACACCTTCCCGCGCACACCAGCCCAGCCAAGCTACTCTCGCTATACCTTACCCAGGTACAGTACTACCTACTGCTGTGGTACTGGTACGACGTTGTACATCATCGGAGCACACATCAACAAACAACCATTCGCTGCCTCACTTTACACCACTCTGAACGAAACCGCCGACAATGGCTGCCACCAGCGAGACATCGCCTCTCCTTCCCACCACCACTGCTGACTCCTCGCCATCCGCGCCGCGACCGACTCCCAAACCAAAGCGCAATGTCACCTTCAACTCGACCATATCAACCGCTTCTCCTCCCAATCGTCAGCGACCTGTGCCCATCTCGGTGGGATCCGCCACACAATTGCCTGTAGCCACGGCCAGTGCAATCACTGCCGAAGCCAAGCAACAGCAGAGCCCTCTGTCAGCCTTGAACAGCAAGCTACGAAGAAGAAATTCCTCGGGCGCAGCGCTGCAACTACCGAACTTCAACCCCGCCAACAAAATCGGCCCACAGCGCACGACGAGGACTGCTTCGAAGCTGAAGCTCCTCCCCAACCCGGACCTGAGCGAAGATGGCCCCGACGAGGAGAGTGGCCGCGATGTCTACTCGCAATTCACGCGCATCAAAGACCCCACTGCCAGGAGAGACGCTGCCAGACTGGGGAAGGAGGACCGCCAACGCCTGCCGCGCGTGACTGCATATTGTACTGCCTCGAGTTACAGGATTGAGGAGCTCATGCGCTTCTTGAAAGGAAGGACGAAGACGAAAGGCGCGAGCCCGAAGCTATTTGATGAGTGTTTGTATTCACCGTACTCGTACAAGAAAGATGGCTTTGGAAGCGACCGGAGTAGGTCTGGGGAGAGGAAGCGACGGGACAGCGGTGAAGCTGCGTTCCTGGAAGAGGAGGAGGAGGAACAACACCAGCGGCAGCAGCAGCATGAGAGAGAAGTGGTTCATAGCCAGCCGATCAGGAGATTTAGTGACTCTGCTATCGAAGTGGAAGAGAACGCGAGAGAACGCAGGGAAGACTTGATCGATCTAAACGGAGGATCCGTCGGGAATGGCGAACCCATACCTTCATCTTCCTCCAGCGTGGATGTATCGAGAGCTGCGGATGACGGCGAGACTGGTACTGGAACATCCATTGAACGCGACCCCGAAATGGACATTACAGTGCATATACCCGAAGTCTTCCTCTTTGAATATGGAGTGGTGGTAATATGGGGCATGTCGGTGAAAGAAGAGCAGCGCTTTCTCAAGGAAATTTCCAAATTCGAGCAGGAAAAACTTGGAAAAGACGATGTGCAAACCGAAGAGTTCAACTTTTACTACACGCGAGAGTACCAGGCGCGGATATACAACGATTTCATCAGTTTACGAGAAAAGAGGAATTACATGACGAAGCTGGCCATCAGCCATGCACTGGCTCAATCGACAAAGGTTTGTTTTGTCCATGCTGCATGAAGCAGTGGGATTCTCCTACACATAATGGAGACGACTAACAACAACTGTGCTCTAGACCTCCCTATACGAAGATCTCCTCGACGGCACCATCTCCACGACACAAACCATTCCCTCCCAGATCGCCTCTACCGGACGGATTCAAATGACACGAAAGGAAATCAACATGCAAATTGGCGAATTATTCATTCTGAGAATCAACATTCACCTCCAAGGTTCTGTCCTCGACGCTCCCGAGCTTATGTGGGCAGAACCTCAACTCGAACCGGTTTATGTTGCTGTGAGGAGTTATCTGGAAATGGATCAACGGGTTGCGCTGCTGCAGGAGCGAGTGGGCGTGATTGCTGATCTGTTGGCTGTATTGAAGGACCAATTGAGTCATACGCATGGTGAGTACAAGTCATTCCGATCGACCCGATCTGACGCGAGAAGGAAAAGAGAGTGGGGGCACTAATCTTATGATGTGTAGGTGAATACTTGGAATGGATCGTCATTGTGCTCATTGCAGCCGAGATTCTGGTCGCTGCGATTAACATTGTCGTGGATTTGTATGCTGGAAGTGATTGAGAAGAGTGATTGAAAAGAGAGAGAGAGGCTGGAGTGACAACCATAAAAAAAAAATAAAGAACCATGGTTGCCCTTGCCCCGTCGGGCGTAATTGGATTCTTACCTACCTACAGATCATACAGAAGCACATACAGGACAGGCAGGACAAGCATGTGTTAAGAAAGGCCCAGAGAAAAGACTTGTCATGTACATGTACGTTTGTGTGTGTGTGAGTGTGAAAAATGTATTGTAAACCTACATGTACCTTACCTACCTACACGCGCGCGCGCGCGCGAGAGAGATATACCTGACCTGGAGTTTTTCTTTTTCTTTGTTTCTTCTTTTTTTTTCTCTCGTTTTTGGAATTCACCTCTACTTGTACTTGTACTTGTACCTATAGGTACCCTCTAATATACATGTAGGTATATATATACCCTATGTTTTACGATATAGTACTTATACACGCGAAGGAAAAAGGGAAAAAAAGTAAATGGTATAGTAGGAGATAGGAGGTATCTGTTGTTGTTGTTGTTGTTGTTGTTGTTGTATTTTTTATATTAACAACCTGAGGTAGGTCATATTCTAATGCTAGGTACCTGCACCTGTAGTCTGATGAGACTTGTAAAAATCCTCAGGTAGGTAGGTAGGTAGGTACAAGTAAGGTAGGTATGATTTGTAGGTTAGTTAGGTAAAGAACACACACACGCACACATTCTCGTAATGATGATTTGTCCTCTCCCCAGCCCAACCCAATTTACGCCGTCTATCAATGCTTTCTTCTTCCCCCTCTAGGAAAAGCAGCAGCAATAGACCAACAACCACAAACCGAAACAGTTTGTTTTTCTTTCTTGATTCACCTTCTTCCACCACCTTCACGATGTACAGCAGCAGCAGCAGCAGGAGCAGCATCGGCAGTGCCTCTCCTCTCTGCGCCTCTCGAAGACGAAACTCTTCCACGACTGTCATATTCCAGTCGTTCTGGCATGTGGCGAAATCGCCTTGTATCACTTCGACTCCAGTAGCTTGTACTACTAGCTCCGGAAGACGAAGATGATGAAGAGGAAGAAGAATTCCTCCTTCCTCTCCTCCCACGTGACGATCTCGACCGGCCAGTAGCAGCAGATCTTCTCGAGACGCGCGAACCTCCTCCTCCTCCACTTCTGCTGCTGCCACCACCACCACCGCTTCTATGACTACTCCCATGTCGATTATCCTGCCGTTTGTTGTCAGCAGAGCCCGATTTGTCTCCTCCCCCACTAGACGCACCAGGTTCACCAGGAGCCGGCCCTTTGGCCAAAGCTTTTTTACTGAAGCGTTTATTGGTCATGTAGAGCGAAATCGAACCTCCGATGAGATCCATACATCCCATGAGAATTCCGACGTTGAAGGGAGTCACGTATTCTTCGAGTTTGGCCAGGCCGGATTTTTTCTCTTCGTTGTTGTTGCCTTGTTGTTGCTGTTGTTGTTTCTTTTGGACAGCTTGGTCCCGGCGATCGGTGTCCCGGCTTCGGCTGCGGCTGCGGCTATCACGACGACGGCGACTGCGGCTGCGACGTCGTCGGCCGTCGTCGTCGCGACGACGTTGGCTGGTATAACTTCTGCCGCCGCGAGAGTCGTAGGATCTTTCCGAGGAGTCGTAGGAGGATGAACGGCCGCGACGGGGGCGTCTGTCGCTGGGGCGGTTTCTTCTGTCGCTGGAATAATGGCCGTCTTCTATTCGTCTGTTGCCGTACCGCTCATCCTCGTACCTTCCTCTCGTGGATCCGTAGGCGCTTTGTCGACTTCGTTGGCTGCTGTTGCTGTGGCTGCCGGCTCGGCCGGCTGACGGATATGGGTTCGAGTCGGGGTTGTTGTCGTACATTGCCCGATAGGCATAATTGGGGAGGCCAGTCGTCATCTTTCTGCCTTGATCTGGAGCATTCTCGCCTGTGGGCGGTGGAGGGAAGTATGGAGCGGGTGGAGCAGAATACCGCTGTCTACCTGCTTTATTCATTTGGAAGAGATGTGATCAAGAATAAGAAGAAGAGGAGGACTCATGGGTTCACTATTTGGAACAGAGCAGAGCAAAAAGCAAAAGATGTACCAGGCAAAATAGGATCAGAGGCACAGAAATAGAGTGCAAGAGAGTTCTGGGCTGCGTTCACAACCGTTCTTCTCTAAATGATAAAGTGCCCTTCTCCTCGATGTGTATCGGGTTGGGATGCTGACCATCGCATCACCCTGCAGAGCCACGACCTAGAAGTGCGACATGGCCGAGTCTCCTTGCAATGAAGAAACTCATAATCGTCGTAATACGATTCGTCGTCCTGGTGGCCAGCACATTATCTGGGACAAAACTCACGCCGCTCCCCGTGTCAATCGTGGAGCCAACCTTGACGGGTGGCAGCAGGTTGCTTGAGCCGGAGGCGCTGTCAGGTCCAACTGGAAACCAAAAAAAGCCTGGCTGGATGTTTGGGAAACTCGGCTCACTGGGAGGGCCGGATCCGATACGGCGTCACCCTGCGAGACGTGTGAGACGAAGTTGCGCGCGTGCGCGCAGCTCTTAAGAACCAAGTCAGTGGCTTCACTAGAGGTAATGGTGCGGTGCACAGAGCCTCGTGCATCATCTGTCACAGGGCTTAACCTGGTCGAGAACCGAAAAACTAAGGGACATGTTAGCGTTCTGTCGTGTCTGGAGGAGGAGTCGAGTAGAGTGTCCATCGATATGTGGGAATGTAGGCCACTGTACTGCAGAGAGGCATGATGAGAGCCTCATAGTATACATCTTCATACCATGGACTCACAACCACACCACTCCATCTGCTAGGAGGGATGTCTGCACCATGTCACAGGTCTCTCGTTCTCGGCGAGGAGAAGATCTGCACACGGCCCGACCGGCCCCTTCGGCAACCCGGTCGAATGTACAATGTAGAGCCGAGTAAGGTTGATGCTCGCGTGGCATACACAGCAAATGCAGGTCGCCGGGAGGGTGACATTGAATAATGTCGAGGTGCGCAAAAGCAGGTGAAGTTGCTATAACATTACAAGCAATGCCCCTGCTTGGGTGGTTTCAGCTTGCGCAAAATTGAGTCATGGGAGACATCGAGATTCGAGATGGGTCCAGCAAGGCTGCGATCAGAGGAAATGGATGCCGGTGTTCCCCACGGGCCTGGACGACGAGTACCCGAGAAGCTGGAATTGCGGTAGGGCGTGTGCCTACGTTGCATGCTTGGCTGGGGTTGTTTGTTGTTCTTCATGTTCTTGTTGGTTGTTGGCCAGTACCTATTTCGTAATATCACAAGCACAGCTGGCGCAGCGATGACAACGGGCGGTGAATGCTCTCTCTCGCTCTCTCTCGCTCTCTGCGCCCGCGATGCACTCCAGACCGGGGGAAAGTGGAGAGGGTTGATGATCTGCGTAGGTACAGTACTACAGTATCAGAGTATCGGGGTAGGAGGTAGTTGTGGGTCCGATCCAGGTGAAGTCAAAAGAACCAGCAACGGCTCCTCCAGTCTCCTCTTACTCCAGCCTCCCTTGACATCATCATCACCATCATCATCATCGAGCACGGCTCATCTCCTGCTGCCATACACAATTCCCAACCGTCTCATGTTGTCGGTCGTTTTGGGCATCATCAGAATTCAGAAACGTCCATGTTTCAGGATTTCCTCGTCGTCGCAGCATCTCTTCCGGAAAAGAAAAAGAAAACGTTTCGAGACGGGGCGGGGCGGTGCGAGTCTGACTGACTAACCGACGCAGCAGTGCTACTATAATAGGTAAACATGCCGCACGATTCCTCGACTACATGTACTACTGTATGCTATACGCTGAGTATATCTCCCATACAAGAGCAGCAGCATCATAAGATCTGCGAAATCTACGGGTACCTTATCTACCTGACTGTCCTCTTGCAGTCCTTCCTCATTGGGCCCGGGACGAGAAAAGAAACAAAAAAGAAAAGAAATTGGCAGGCAGTGTTTATTTTTGGTCTCCCAATTGTCTTTGCGATTGGGTTCGAAGAGACTCCTGTGAGGGCATTGTCATCCCAATCTAATCGCTATCTTGCTACCCTACAAGTACATATACCTATGCACGTGTCTGAGGAGGGCTGCGAGGTACCTTACTTACCTACGTAGAGAAGGATTGTAAACACATGAGCTAAGTACATAGAGCAGCGAACGCAGCTTGATATGTCGCCTGAAATTTTTCAAGGGCATGAATAACCATACCAGAAGCCTCAGATTCTAAAAGAGGAGATCATAGTGTATGACGCCAGCACGCATTTGGATGGGATCTATAGGTAGGTGTATCGTGGAAGCCTAATGGGTAAAGACAGTCCAGTAGCGAGAGAAAAAGAGAGCATTTCAACAGATGTTGTTCACGCATCATATCGTCCATTCAGAGAGACAAACCAGCAACCAAGCGAAATCGATTTCACGGCAAAACGAGATATCCCATCCCACGAATTGCGTTTGACAACATGAAAGTTCTTGTCCATCGTCGTGATTGCCAGAGAGCCCAATAAAGCGCAAAGACTCTCTCTCTCTCTCTCTCTCTCTCTCTCTCTCTCTCTCTCTCTCTCTCTCTCTCTCTCT